CATATAACCGTGGACTGCCAAGTTCAGTGAACTTGTCCATTGGGTGGAGGGTTTGGCCAGTAGCTGTGACAGGGCAAGATTTTCCTAGTGTGGGCTGGTACATCGCTTCTGTCGTCTTGCTGTTAATTGTAAGACCAACATCATCCCAAGCTGAAGAGAAATAGTCCACACTCAGTTGCACGTCAGACTCACATGTAGCATTCAGGCAACAGTCATCTGCAAACAGACGATCACGAACAGTCTCCTTCTGTACCGTCTTAGCTGATAGTCTCCTCAAATTGAAGGGCTCGCCATCATTCCGGTTTCTAAGGCCTATCCCAATGTCACAGTCACAAAAGGCATTGGTAAGCATGTCAGCATCACACACAGCCATGCTGGACTCCATAGGGGACAGCGAGTGGTTCGGATGACTCATCCTCATCCACAATGTGAGCCAGCACGCCGCCGTGGAATTGCCAGACTATTGCCATCAATTTCTCCAAGCAGCCACATTTTGCCAGGATCCTCCCAGACTGACAGCATCCCGTGGTTTTGCCAGTTCAATGAAGGTCATACTCAGGTTAGAATATTGTTCCTGGCATGTCTCCTGAGGTTGACGAGCTGCCAACACCTGTAATCCTTACCTGACACCGCACTGACCCTCGGGCAGGAGCTTTTGTTCAATGTGTCGCACGAGACAATTCAGCCGAATTCTAGCGAGAAAATTCTAGTTTCTAAACTTCCCCATCCAGTTTTATTTTCCAGCGTGTTATACCGGGATAGTGAATATACAGATTATTATATTGCAGAGTTTCAAACAAGGAAGCAAGGAAAGACCTCCGGAGGCATCCACCCTGCATCTCTGCTGTAGAACAAACACAGTTTTCACTCATGTGTCTTCTAGGACCCATTTGCCAGGATGGCGACTTGAGAGCTAATTGATGAAGTGACACAATACACAGCTATCCATCAACACGCACAAGAGCTATTTCCCACTGCACAGAGCTCTGATGAAGGCAGGGATTTTGCTCTGGCTGTAAAGCTCATTGCTTTATTTTTTCATCATAGCGCATCACTTGACATTTCAGCAAGTCGGATCAGAGGAAGAAGAGATGGGCTGTTTCCCCTACATCAAAAGTGTCTGAATGGAATCCAGAACTTCTAGAGGCTGTGGGAAATCAACAGAGCGTCTGAGACGCTGTTTGAAGTGTTGGCTTGCTAAAAAGGCCCCTGGGATGAGGAATAGCAGCGCAAAATAACATTTAGGCTAATTGTTCTGCGTTAGTTCACTTAGACTAACATCAGCTTCCGAACCAGAGCCCCCATGCCCAGCCTAGCCCTCCAAAACAACACCCACCAGCCCCCTCTAAACCTTCTGCTCCCCCCAAAAGTCTTTGGGACCCATCACTGTCAGCTGTTTAAGGACAACAAATGTACATAAAAAAATTAATGCCGCAACTTCTGCGAGTTCCAGCAATCTCAATGCCAGCAGAAGTAACCCCACAAGAGGCCGAAACATAAGAACAGCCAGACCGGGTCAGACCAAAGGTCCATCTAGTCCAGTATTCTGTCTGCCGACAGTGGCCAATACCAGATGTCCCAGAGAGAGGGAACACAACAGGTAATTATCACATGATCCCTCTCCTGTCATCCATTTCCAGACAAACAGAGGCTAGGGACACCATTCCTACCCATCCTGGCTAATAGCCATTGATGGACCTAACCTCCAGGAATCTATCCAGCTCTTTTTTGAACCCTGTTAAAGTCCTGGTCTTCACCACATCCTCTGGCGAGGAGTTCCACAGGTTGACTATGCGCTGAGCAAAGAAAAACTTCCTTTTGTTTGCTGTAAACCTGCTGCCTATTCATTTCATTTGGTGACCCCTAGTTCTTATATTGTGAGAATAAGTAAATAAGTTTTCCTCATTCACTTTTTCCACACCAGTCATGATTTTATAGACCTCTCTCATATCCCCCTTAGCCTTCTCTTTTCTAAGCTGAAAATCCCCAGTCTTTTTAATCTCTCTTCATTTGGGACCTGCTCCAAACCCCTCATCATTTTTGTTGCCCTTCTCTGAAACTTTTCCAATGACAGTTTAACAAACAAAATACCCTGCTTTGTTGCCTCCGCAGCTTATGCTAATAACAACAATAATAATCCTGGCTGCATTCAGAGCAGAATAACTCAACGGGATCTCCAGCGCCCCTCGCAGCTGTAAGCAGATGAATAAATAAGATGGAAGAAACTCTGGAGCTAAGAGACGCAGGCATAGGCTATTTCATTGGGAAAAGGTACACAGGTTGCGTTCTGCAATTTGCGTACCTTTTTCTGCTAGTTTTGTCGGAAGGGGTATTTCTAAAATTTGGCCCGTCTACAATGGGCCAAATTTCGGAAAAAGGGGTTAACGAGGTGACTTTTAAGGAAAAACAATTGCTAATGGACAGTATGGGGTTTGACTTTCAGTCACAAATTAGTTAAGAGAGAGCAATCTAAAGGAAGCAAAAATAGGGGTTACCTTCAGAAACAACTCTCTGTCTCTCTCTCTCACTTTCCGTGTCTGTCTGTCTCTCTGTTTCTGTCTCTGTCTCTGTCTGTCTGTCTGTGTCTGGCTATGTCTAGACCGCCGCTTTTTTCGGAAAAAGGTACGCAAATTGCGCTCTGCAATTTGTTGTTCTGATTGTTTTTTCGGAAGAGGCTTTTCCGAAATTTGGTCCGTCTAGACTGGGCCAAAGTTCGGAAAAAACTTCTCTTTCAGAAGAGCCCTTCTTCCTCAGGAAACAAGGAAGACAGGGTTTCTGAAAGAGCCCATCTATTCTTCCACAAAAAATGACAGAAGAGCAGACGTGTTCTCTGGACGTGATGGAGTTTTTCCGGGATACCTCTAGTCTAGACATAGCCCCAGACTGGTAGACTGTAATTTGTTTTGGTTCTAGGAATTCTCAGGTCTATCAAAGGTGTTAAATCAACTGAGGGATTAAAAAAAAAGCAAAAACAGAGCAGGGAGAATGAGCCACGTTGTATAATATAGATTGTATCTGCCTGAACTGGGATTCCCTGGCCTGGCAACAACCGTGATCCAGCAGGACTACGGATGCTCCTGGACCACAGAGCCCAGGAACAGGGAGGTCTGGCGGGGGGGCAGGAGCGCTGTAGGGGGCACTGGCAACTCAGTGGGGAGCCCAGTGTGGGGGGCGGGGGGGGGGGGAGGGGGAGCACAGT